ATAAAAGATTTGCTGCTGATCAATGAGAAAGAAATACCTAGCAGTAAATCAGAACAATTATGAAGTGTATTTTCTGTTTTCTACAAATTCGAGTGTTATGTTACTAAAAGGGATGCAGAGGAACTGAAATTGTTAAAGAAACTGCATGGAAACTGACACCAAAAAAAGATCGACTATCTTTATTCCTGTATAATTTCCGTTTCAGATATTGTTTAAAAACAACTAGATTTTAGTACTCATTTATTTCTCTGTTATTATTTCAGATTTGGTTTATGCGATTGGAGAGAAAACGTTCTTTTTTCAGTGAAACGGGAATCTGATACAGACACTCCATGCGTGATAAGTCGGGTTCTGATCTGAAATGTATCACAGTGATTTTCAGGCTGAAAGACTCATTCCTTTTTTTTACTTCAGATCCTCTCTAAAAAGAATTCCTAATCCTCTTGCATTCCTCTTTTTTCAGAAAATTGCAACTCGATGCCAGCCTCTTATTTAATAAGTTCTTGACCGTTTTCGCTGGTGAGGCAATCTAAACATTTTCAGGAGTAATAAAATAACGAAATACTGATGACATTACAAAATGGCTACGTTTTGAAATATCAACGTTAATTCTACCGTTCATATGAGAAATCAGTAAAAAATTAATACCATCTTTCTTCTTAACAATCAGTAGAATATTGTAATAGAAGGACATATCTACGTTGGGTCGTATCGTATCATGGAATGCAGCGAATTAAATGGGGCCTCTCTCTTCGCTTTGATAAGATTGTGTGTAAAGACGTCAGTCGAGTTGTTAGTGCCTCTATATACGTTCGGACATGCTCGGCATAAACGCTAAATGTTCACGTTAACAACAACAACAACGGAATTTCACATTGATACTAGCATGCAGTAATTTTTTACTACCTTAGCGCTACACATCGTTATCATCGATCGTCCATGTCATTCAGAAGAATAAAAGACCTTTACATTATCTACTAACGAGACCGATAGTTTCTGTTCACCTTCGTATATTTTACAGTAGTCGAATTAGTATTTTTTATGAGAACTATTAGACTTACTGCAACATTCGTTATGCAGTAGTATTTCAAAAATTCATGGTAAATAAATTAAAAAATGGGGAAAACAGACGCTGTGAAAAAGACACACCTAAAATAGTTCCACGTCGCACCAAAATCACAATAAGAACCAATTATGGCCATCTGTTTCCTAATTATAGCGATAGTCTTAGCAATCATACAGTCCCAACCTAATCTTGACGTCACTCAATTCCTAGGTGCTTAAAGGAAGCGGTCTAATTAATTTTGTGGCCATCATGTAGTATGTCAAATTTAGGCTTGCCCAGCGCACTTGCTGACCATAACAACTCCGTTTTTTTATAGTTAGTAGGCTGTATATCAAAATGTGCATAAAATTCTAGTGCTTAAAAGAATCAGTAATCCTTTTTTCCAAATTAATATATTGCGCAGTAAATTTCATTCCCATCATACCTGCTACAATGCTTGCTAGATGATCAGCAAAACTATTTTGCAAACTGTTAATGAGAAAAATTCACAAGTCTAAATGATAAGTTATAAACAAAGTAGGCGAAAGGCATGATCCTTGAGTAGTCCCTCTTTCGATACGAAAATATTTAGAGCGCATTCCATTCATTTCGATAAAGACTATTCGTCCTTCAAGTGAAAACTTAATCCAAGCAATAACAACAACAACAACGGAATTTCGTATTGATACTAGCATTCAGCGCCTAATTTTTTACTACCTTAGCGCTACACATCGTTATCATCGATCGTCCATGTCATTCAGAAGAATAAAAGACCTTTACATTATTTACTAACGAGATCGATAGTTTCTGTTCACCTTCGTATATTTTACAGTAGTCGAATTAGTATTTTTTATGAGAACTATTAGACTTACTGCAACATTCGTTATGCAGCAGTATTTCAAAAATTCATGGTAAATAAATTATTTTCAAAGTATCTTCGGCAGCATATTAAACTTAGTTAACAGCCAAAATTCCCTCTGCTAAAGCTCACTTTGGCAAGGGACTTTTCTTACGTTGGCTTTTCGATATTCGGGTTATTGAAAAAAAATTCAGTTTAGTTTTCAGAAGCCATTGTTTTCTCAAACTCTGTTTTAATATCACAGATTCACTTTCATATCAATCTAATATCAAGCGAAAATTTGGCAGTAAAAGACACATTCAATTAGAGGAGAATCTATCAATTCAAACGACTGTTTTATACATATTATATAAATATATATTCATTCCACGCTTGAGGCACTGTCAAAAAAATTTTTAAAATAGAAACAATTTACACACCTTTGTCATTCATACATTTTATTTTCAATTATACATGTTCGAATTTGATAATTGAAATAAGGAGTTGAATGGTTTTTTCAACTATCTTGCACTCCATCATTTTTTGATTGTTTTTATAGAGACATTTTATTTATTACAGTGTGAGTACTACACGATGTACAATGTTGACGATAATGCACTAACATCATTATTCATTTCGATAGACATATATCGTGTATAATATGTCAATATTTACTGTACAATGTCATCCGTTTTGTTTCTGACCAGGCACGATGACATTGCTACTGAAATAAAAGACATCCGTCTTATCATCGATTACTGATAATACTCTTGGTAGTTGCCAAGTTGGACCATATCGAGATTATATCTTGAAATAGTCTACATAGACATTCTTTTTAAGTTGGTCACAGTTTAAGCACGTATCATAAGTAAACTAAAACTGAATTGTTGTTAGTATTACTATCTGTGCGAAGCTAAAGTTCAAAAAACTCCTCTAAAAATGGTGTATCATCAGGGTTTGGGAAAAATCGGATTGTAAAACAACGAGCTTCTAAGACATTTATATACCTTCCAAAGTGGATCAAAAATATAGATGTAAACAAATCGAATCTGTATCTGTAATAATAGTTTAGGTACGATAAATTTTCTTAGTAGTTCAAGATTTGTATCACATGATCTTGAATAATATTAAAAATTAATGGAAATATCGATTATTGCTCAATCAACCTGAATCTCATGATTATATTTGTTCAGAAAAAAGTGAGAAAAGTTAGTGAATATGAGTTTTGAGGAAAGTACCGTAAGTTTGGCCACAAATTCACATACGAGATGATCGGATATCGAGAAAATTGCTGGAACTTTTTGATTTTTTTGATACAAATCAGATTAGAGTAATATTAGTAACATATTTTATAAGTTTTCTTCTTTCAGAGTACAAGCGAAAAATATGCCATTATAGCATTATAAACTAAAAATATAGAAAAATACTAAATCAATTTTGTACGAATAAAACAAACTAAACACACAAACTTAGTTAGTTTTTGTGTTTACTTTTGATAAACATAACCACCCGTTGGTATTTCCCCAAAACTTCTGCCTCCGTTTTTTTCGATCACATGAATATTATAGGATCAAGATCAATAATGAAAAACATTTTTCTTGAAAAAAAACGGCGTTTTAAAATCGCGTCTGTATTACAATTGGGTCTTGAATTTCTGTTAATTATAACAAAGTAGTTTTTCAGTAAAAACGTATTTTCAAACGTATTTACCTGATAGTCCAGGATCCAAATCCTGATAAGACTCACAGTTGACTAAATGTGATTAATTACTCTAATATGTTCTAAATCAAAAAAAATAAAAATGTTTACTGAATTTTTGTAGCATACTCTCCGATCTGCTCAAAATCCAATCAATCACTTGAAACGTTCATAGAGTATTGTTTGACTTGATTCCTATAGTGACAAGAATAGAAAAGTAATAAAAAGCTTTATTTATATATCCGTTAGATTTTCTTAAGAAAGCGCCTTACAAAAAAATATGACATTGAAATTAGCGATTGTTTAAGTTTTCAAGTATACTTATTTAATTATGTTCTGAACGTTTCAAATGATTTAGCTGGATTTTGAGAGAGCTATGAATTTGTAAATCTCTAGGCAAAAACAGAGTATGTTCCTCAAAACTCATCTTCACTGGATTTTCTCACTTTTTTCTTAAAACAAACATAACCATAAAATTCAGACTAATCAATCATCTATACTTTCATTTATTTTCAATGTTACTATTATAGATTAAAAAAAAAAAACTTACCAATGGAAACGATGAGAGATGAATAAGTGAGACTTCCATCGGTGTATAACTTGACAGCTAGACTATTATTTGCATGTTTTAGAAATTAAGGCAGTTATGAAATATTAGCGTACGGCAATCTTCTCAATTATAGACTTCTAAGATGCATCACAAAAAAATTCGGTTTTCCGAAGTCTTTAAATACCAAAAGCTGACGTAAAGTGTTACGTAGTGAATGCTGAGAATCCTTTAGTTCTCTATTTAACTCCAATCAAATACTTTTTACAAAATAGTCGAGTTCATTGCTTATTTGCACAAATCCAGTGACGTATTAGATAATAATACTATACAACAGAGAAACTTGCTACATAAAGATTTACACTATTACACATAGATTGATAGACTCGCACGTCTGACTAGTGATAATATACTATTAGTTATTCAAAGATTTGTTTACTACCCTTAGCATCAATAACATGGAAAACTCTGCTATTTTGTCAACAAAACGCATGAAACAAGTGTTGATTAGTCTGTCTAGACAAATAGTCAAGTAACTGTTAGTACTATGGAACTACTGTTACAATATTGTGGATTTGTTTCTTTGTCTTTATTATTATTTTCATACATTCATTCACTCAACAATAGAACAAATTATAATACAAGATAGGATATAGAATACTCTTATTTGTTCTATACCGTATGAATGAAATGACATTATATCATGACTCATCGGTATCATACTTCAAATAGAAATCGTCTCTTGTATGACAATAATCTTATGACAAAAATGAACACTCGCATACCATTACAAATAAGAAGTTATACACGATCTAAATCTTGCCTGTAAGAGTTTGTGTATCTTTTGATTAGAAATAGCATTCGATTAATCTTTATCTCATACCTGTTTCATCAGTTGTTGCCTCAATTTTCGCATACGGACCAGCGCTACTTGTGCACGATTCATTCAAACATGCTTGAACAAGTATTTCATATTTTGTAAATGGTCGTAATTGTTGCAGTATAAATTCTCCTGAATCTTTGAATTTTGATGTTTTTACTACCGCATACGTTTGATTTCGATATTTTATATTGACGGGTCGATATTTAATTAGATAACCATAAATATTTTCATTTTCAATTTTATCCGGTTTTTCCCATCCAATTTTAATTAAATCTTTATCGGTTGATAATACTCTCAATTGTCGTGGTTGTCCCGTATCACCAATTAATATTAGTGAACATAGACAAATGAATATAAAAAGACCATTACTAGTTGTTGAAAAACGAATTTGAACATATTTGAATAAGTGAGTCATGAATGTCCATTTTAAATAGCAACACCACTTACTCATACCCAATTAATTTTTGTTATGAACATCAAATAACTGTTTCTATTTTATTCTCATACTTTCAGTTAAAAATAATATCTATAAGAAAACTGTATCGTCGTTTCAACTGTACAAGTGGTAGATAAGAAATGATTAGAATTTTTTAGAAATAAACTGACTTTTCCAGATGTAACGTGTATAGAGAAGAAAGATAGATGTTATCTGTGTATAACATATGTATTATAGCAAAGTGAGAGAAACAGAGGAAAAATATATAAACACTTCACCATCATCTACTGTACAGTCTGTGTTCGTCGATCGAGAGAAGAAAATTAAAACAAGAAAAAAAAAAAGGAAACAAACAAAGAACGAAATAAATAGAAATCAGCTGAAGTAGGTGTGCCAATGACACGCTCAATATAGAATATAACCTCAGAGAACAAAAGGTGTGAAAATTGTTGATGCGAACAAAATATATCTTTCACTAACCAAATGGCCAAATAGAAGACGTTATGGTATTTTTCGATACAAACTAATTCTTAATCTAGAAAACTAAACGACATATAAAAGTAGAATGACCTGCAGGAAAGGGCTTATACTGTAAAAATGTATAACTAAAATTCTCTAATATCTCATATAAATATGATGATTAGTCTATTCTATAACAACAGAATATGAATCTCAAGAAAAGTTAGTCTATCACACTAAGTTTATGAGAATAATTAATCGGGTCTATAGTTAAATATTTTATATAGTAAATTTTTATCAAAATTGTCATTTTATAGATTAAAGATTGTTTATCTGTTAAATATTTCAGTAAAAAATGACACAGATAAAAAAAAATCTTTGTTAAATTAAAATCTAATCTAATATGTTTCAAAATAATTTTTCTTTTCTTGTTTTCAACAAAGTAAAACGGAACATACTCTTAGTTATATAATTGGAAAAGAAAAACTAGCGCAGTATCATGTACGATGAGAAGAAAACTCTTTATTTTCTTTTAAAATCGGAAATAATTGTGATGAAATTTACAGTTTCTGTCATCGTTTTTTCGCATACAATATATAAGGTCAAAAGCTTATCGGTAAAGTTAAAAAAAACGATGAATGAGACGCCTTTTGTTGATGTTTTATCAGATTCGTCATTCACCCTCGGTATTGTCGGCAATACAGACAACTGTATCAAAAATTGTGTTTCTCTACATGATAAAACTTGATCTAACATCTACATTTAATCGTTACTAAAAAAATTAGAAGTTTTCAATAAGTATGATCCAAAAAAATAAAAGTAAACTGCTTTAATTACGATTAAACTTCGATTTCACATAAAATGCTCTTTCTTCGACTCATGAGAGATTTGATTAATTTTTAGATGTCTACTATGAATAAAAGAATATCTCTCTACTCTTGTCGATTTTGCGAAAGTTAACAACTTAGTCTACTAAAAAGAAATTTTTTTATATGCTATCAGAGAGAAAACTATTCTCAATGGATTATCCTACCATTTTTATTACGAAATTTGTTCAACGAGAAAGGTATTCTGATCACTCTTAAGCAATAGAAAACTTCCATGCGAGAAAATAGGAATGTATGTCATTTAAATAAAAATAATATCGTTATAGTGTAATGGTAGAGTCATCCCTATCCACTCATATCATTATAAACAAATGGAAGAAATATACACACTTTTTGGTTTGATTAGATTTATTAGACGTAATGTACCATCATATTGAAAAGAAGAACCACAACAACAGAAGCAACGTATGTTCAGCATTCTGTTAATACCCTAAATCTAATTGCATTGTCTTCCTATGATGATGATGATGATGATGATCAATGGCAACAGTACAGAAAGAAAAGAAAAGAAGAAGAAAAAATCGTCATTATAAATGGTTTTATTATTGTTCAAAACCTACATACCAAACAATTTCGACGA